AATGGGCTTCGAAAATAGAATTTGAACATGATATAGAACTCCAATAGAATTCCAAATTGAATTCTTCGTGATGTGCATTTTAATTTGAATTTTTCAATACTTCAAACACTTCAACAAAGGAATTCGGATTACACCCAAATTCCAACAATCTCCACATTGACACAAATTCCATTCAAGGAATGAATAGACTTCTTCAACATTAATCAAAAAATTAACTTCTCCAACAAAACACAATATTCCACATCTTCCAATAAATCTAAGTACTACTCTTGTAGAATTATCTCGGATTTCGAAAATCATAGTGATTTTGAATTAACCAAAATGGGCTATAACACACCCCAAGGCAGAATTAATACCAAATGCTTTTACCGAAGGGCCCATTGCTAAATTGAACACCTTCTACTCCACTTAAAGCATGCTTAACAAAATCAGCATCCACATACCTTGTTTCACTTGGTCCGTCTCTAACAACTGAATACAATAGCACTACAGGTGATGGTGGCAAAGTTCCATTACCCATATCTTCGAAATTCTACTGAACTGTATTCTTTAAATCTGACCCTTTTATGAGCTCTAAAGGTATTTTACCTAACTGAATTTCCACCACGACACTAAATTTGTGCTGATTAACTCTTCTAGATTCTGCACGTCCCTGCAAGATGTATAACTAAGACATTTTCCGTCGTTCCAATATAATTTGGGCACCCTTACAAACCTTGAAGGCTCCACTTCCACCAAAGAACTCATAACCTTTTGAATCAAGAATAGACAACGAGTTGAGATTCTTCTTCAAATTCGAAACATGTCGAGCATGGTCAAGTGTTCTAATTATTCCATCCAAAAGCTTAAATCTGGCTGTACCAGTTCCAGCAACCCAACAAGGTGAGTTGTTTTCCATAACCACGACACCTTTGNGTTCTTCAAATCTGGAACATGTTGAACCTGGCCAAGTATTCTAATTGTCTCATCAAAAAGCTTCAATCTAACTAAATCAATTCCAGCAACCCAACAAGATGCGTTGTTTCCCATAACCACGACACCTTTGGAAACAATTTCATATGCAACAAACAAATCCTTATTAGGATACATATGAAACACACGCACTGAATCAAGAATCCAATCATCTTCCGTTTTAGACTCAATGTTAGAAATAGCTAAGAGATCTCCATCACTTACAACATTCTCCGCGGGTCTGCTTGGCCTGAAGTATCTGAATATCTATTTGTAGCCATCCTTTATTTATTCTGCAATTTGTAGCAATCTTTTTTCATATTCCCCTTCTTCTTGCAGTAGTTATAAATCTGATTACTGAATTTAGACTTTAATCTGCCCCTTCCAGAACCACCATGAACAACCAACCTTCTCCATCTCTGGTCTCAGAAACTAGATGCTTCATCTTCTTTTTTGAATACAAATCTTCGTACACCTCCTCTATGGTGAGAGTATCACGCTATACAAGATC